CAGTGTTTGTGAGATAATTAGGGTTTCCCACATAATTGATTTCAATCTATGATGGCAGGTCTATTTTTAAAAGGGTATTTATGAAGGTTTAAAAGCTTATAAATAATTATTTGAGATAAGTGTAGATTTTATATGAAATGAGAGGGAAAAACTATTGTGTCTGGGTAAAAAATTTGGCGATAAAATTGACGAATATCATAACCAGAGTTGTTAATCGCTACTTTTAAAAGTAGCGCGCTACTGCTATCGCTATTTGTCAAAAAAAGTAGCTCGCTATTAGCTACTATTTTTAAAAAGTAGCTTTAGCTACGGCTACTTTTTATAAAAAAAATTTAGAAACAATTTTTTTTTTATTTTGCATATAATGTAATTGTATAGTAAATAATATATAAAAATCAACATTTATAAATATTAAAATATAGTTAATTTTGATTATAAAAATATTTATGGTAATTTGTTGAATTTTAATAATAAAATCATTTCAATATTATCATCCCCAAGTCTAGAGCGACGATCAGAAAGTATCAGTTTTGCCTTACTAAATAATCTCTCGACACTAGCACTTGAGGGCAAGGGATTATTTAATCTTATATACATTGTTGTGTCCAACTATCAGTCGTGCTACATATATGAGATATCTCTGATAATTCTACTATTAAAGCATCTTTCATCACTTTAAACCAGGCAGGTACGCAGGAATTTGTTCTGGGGGGGGGGGGATAATAAAATTTTTTAAGAAATATTTTTAAAAATATCAAGCATGCATTTATTAGGACTAATAACTATTCCTAATGCACAATTTTAAATTAAGGTGAATTATAAAAAAATTATATGTAAAGAATCACTTAAATGACCCAAAATAGAAATTTGAATTTTTTGAGCCTTTACACAAAAAGTTTCTTAGGAATAATTGTATTTTGTGTTATATATTTACAATGTAAAATCCAATCTTCGTTGGGATTGAGCTAATTTTTCAATTATCTCATCCTTGCTTGTCGTCAAATGCCTATGAATATTCAAAATATCCAAACTTTCAATCTACTTTCACATGTTGTACTTCTTGGTATGTTTTTCAGAGACCTGGAGGCCCGGCCCCTGGGCCGGACTGTATTTTAATTGTTTTTAAAAACACCCGGGCCGGACCTGAATTTAAAAAAAAACACCCAGGCCGGGCTGTATTTTTTAAAACAGCCTATATTTGAAATCGTTATTATTAGCTATAAAAATCAAAAATAAATATAAATTATTTTAAAGAAATCAGGGCCGGACCTAAAAATTTTATTTTAAAAAAAGCAGAGCCGGGCGTAAAAAATTTTTAAAAAAAACCCAGGCCGGGCCGTAAAAAAATCTTAAAAAAAAATCCGGGCCGTGCCCTACAAATGGTACTTCTGCAAGCCTCTGTTATTCTTCTTAAAAAAGAGAGTGCTCTCTCATTAGTTTACTAATGGGAAGAATCTATAAACCCTTTTAATACATTGGGAATTTAATCTAAAATGTGTTTGAAATAATGCAGAGCATCCATAGCATTTTTTGGGACTATATCAACTATAGTTAATCTTATAAACATAGTTATTCAGCTAGTAAGGCATCATAAGATACTTTAACATCTTCATAATAAAAATCTAACAAATATTTTTTTTCTATCACCATCTGAAAAAGTTGGGAAGGCTTTTGTGGAAGTAATATTTGCAGATGTAAGTGCTGCATGATGAATTAAAAATTCATTATTTGGGTTATAAATGTATCTATATCTAAGATATACTCTTCTACTGATCCTATATTAATGTTTTAACGATGAGCTTGCCTTGTTACAAGTCGAGGGAGACAAATATTAAACATGTATAGCTCTGCTTTTGACTCAATAATAAAATATAAAATATGAAATTCTTCATCAACATTAGTCCTAATTTCCTTGAGTTCTGATAAAATGCTCTCCGCTATTCTCATCTTCTTAATCAAGTCAATGTCATGTTTTTGAAAAGTAATACTTAAAATAGTTGTATAATTAAAGAATACATTCTAATGAGAAATAAAATTTGAAATAAGCATTAAATCCAATATTTTCTTGCTTCTGAGGATATATTTTTTTCAGGCCATTGTAATATTTCAGTAATAGCAAATAATTGGCTCTTCTATCTCCTTAAAAGCTGTTACTGCTTGATGGCAGAGACTCTATCTCGATGTACAATGCAATTTCTTTTTCCCTGTTGGACCAGAAGTTTCAGAAATAATTATTATTTGACTAGAAATTTGAAAATGGTAGATAAATATTACGCCACTAAAAATTTGAAAATAATAAGTAAATATAACGCCGGAAAACTTGAAATCGAAATTAATTGATAAAATAACTTATGAATGTGATAATAAATGTAATTAAATATATATTTAATATGAGATACGAACAGATATTAACAAATATAAATTAATATAAACAATAATATTTTTGAAAAATATATCCAGCATCTGCATTTTTTGACTGGGGGGGGGGGTTTATCCCCATGCGCCCCCCCCCCTCTGCGTACGCCAATGCTTTTAACTTATTTGCTATTTTATTTAGAAGTGTCTGGCGACATAAATTAGTTGTACCAGGCGATAAAGTTTTAATCATCATAGTAAATGATGGATTATCAACCAAGGACATTGGCTGAACTGTATCAATTATAAAATCCACAATAACTATATTAGTTAATTTCTGAGAAATATTGGCATTTGTATTATTAATTAATTTTGTCTGAATAGAATTCACTTATGCCAAAGTTATTTAAATGTTGTTCAATTTCCTTAAAACTATTAACATGAACAGTCTTTTAAAATAAATATTATTATTTTATGTAAAAATGATAATTTACCATTAGGTGTTTCTTTAGTAGGTTATAGCTACTGGATGGATTTGAGGAAATATTTTTTTTACATTTTGAACATATAAATTTGAAGCCAGTTTTTGTTTTAATATTTATCTTAAAAAATTTTTGAAATCTAGGAAATGGGAAAGTATTGCTCAGAATATCATTTTATATATTTCAATTTTAAAATTAAATAATAAATCATAAAAATTATAATTAATTATGGTATTATATTTAAATTTTCGTGCTTATACTTATATTCATTATATTTATTAAAAGTAGCGCAAAAAATTAAATAATTTCAAAAAAAGTAGCCGCTATTAGCTATAGCTACCAAAAAAGATAGCGCGCTACTTTAACAACTCTGATCATAACAAAATCATATTTTTTTTCCATATTTTCAATAATATATTTTACCTTTTCTCTGAAAATTTTTAGATATCTTGGAAGAATAAATAGGGATAATCTATTTCACTCATTTGATTATTGGTTAAAGAAAAGATTCTTTCAACGTTGGAATTATGAGCTGATATAGAAAAAAATAAAAATGTTATAATAACAGTTCACTACATTGTTTAAGGATTGGGATATAAAAGAAATTAAACCGGTGAAGAGCAGGTTTTGCATAGTCAACACATCTGATTTTATTTGTAATAAACAGTTTAAAGTTGCAAATTGGTTAATAAGTTTGAGTCATTTAATGAAACATTTTATTTTTTAAAAAAATCTGTAGACTTTTCTAAATCTGACTATTTGGGAACATTTTTAATTTTTATCCATTTGAAACATTCCAGTTCTCTAGAGGTTCTGACTAAAGAGCAAAATATAAAATTCTATGTCTATATATTCAATAAATTATTTTTAATTGTATTTGTTTAATTTTTTTGTCCATTTATATAACTGTTTCAAATGTTGCTTGAAAATAAGTTGCCAAACTTTTATCTAGCAAGAATATATTTTTTAGATTATAAATTACAAACACAAATGAATAAAAAAAATTTTTAAAAGATTTTTTATTGTGCACATAAATTAAAATTAGTAACCATATACTTAATAAATATATTTTATAACAAATAATGGAAAAAAAATATAAATTTCTAAATCACGCCCTTTATCCATCGTTAAATAAAGGTAACATTTATTATCTATTTATCATTGAAAGGAGAAAATTCCCCGTCATTTATAGTGGGCTATCAGCTAGTAGAAATATAAAACAATTATCTCATGTTTGTATCCTTTTCAAATTTAAAGTCGATAATAAAAAATAATCTTTTTAGTGGTGTGATTTGTTGATAATATATTAATTGAGACATTAGATGACCTCACAATATGTGAATATATTAAAAATGAAAATAATTATCGCACGTGTGTTTTCGCAAAATAATATAATGAACAAGAATTTAAAAAATTTTTAAGGCGGTGTATTAGTATTTCAAAAATCCTACCTATCCCAAAAAAGTTTGAAAGAATAATAAAAGTTAAAATATAAGAGGGATGTTGGGATAAAATTTATATTATCTAAATTAATATTTTATATTAAAAATAATTTGCGAGAGGACGATTATAACTCCTCCCTCCTCTCCCATCTCCTAGATTACGCGAATTATAGAGGCGAACATGTTATTTTTTGAATTTTGCTTATATATGAAATTTGGATATCAAATGATTGTAATTTGGGTTGGGCATGGCTTAAATTAATTTGGAAATATTATAAATGTATGTCTTAACTTTTAAATTTAATAAATTTTTTTAAACTATTAAAAACAATTTATATTATAAAATTCTATCTCATTAATTATTTTTTTTTTAAAATGTTTTTTTTATTTTTGTAAAAATATACATTTGTATCAATCTTTTTTTTTTTAACTTAAACTAATATATGACATATTTTATTATATTCTCTATATAATAATGTTAATTTTTAAATAATAATATTTATTCATAAATAAAAAAAAAATAAAAAAAAAATTAAACCAAGATTTTTTATGTATTAAATTTATTATAATTCTTATTCCAACTTCTATAAAAGTAATAATTAAAAAAAATGACTAATAAATTTATAATTAATCGACCAATATTTGCTAACCTATCAGAAAACATAAGAATATTTGTATGATATTTCACTTATCCATTTTTAAAATTGGGAGATATGTTGTTTAAAATACTGAAAAGTGATTAAATTATTTACGCTCAAAATGCTTCCTTATTTACGTATGATAATTTTTAGTTCTCTGATATTTATAATAATTAATTTACATTCAATAACATTCATTTCATCTCAAAATTCCGTTAATGATTGCTATGATGACAAAGGTAAAGCTAAGAGGTGCATGCCTCCCTTTCAAAATGCAGCTTTTAACATTTTAGTGAATGTAACAAATACTTGTGGTAACCCACCTATCGAGTATTGTTTACAATCTGACGCCATAGGACCAAGTAGTACATGCCTTATGTGCAATGCTAGTGATTCTAAATTAGCTCATCCAGCATCATATTTGACAGATTTTAATAATAATGATAATTTAACTTGGTGGCAATCTGAAACCATGCTCCAAGAAATACAATATCCCAATTCAGTCAATCTCACATTAAATCTAGGTAAAATTCATTTTTTTTTTGTAAGATATATGTGTTGCATTAATATTATAGTATTTTGCTTTTTCTATTTTTTCTTCTGGAAATAATATTTTGATAAATATTCAAATTTCAGTTATTACAAGCAATATTTATAATTTCTAACTTGCTAGCTATATAAATTTTAAAATATTGTCTAGCTGGTAAAATTTGAACATCATAGGCATTGCTGGAGGTAGAAACCATGAAATCTTTAAAAAAATATAAAAGAGTTAACAATGTTTTAAAATGATTAACTCAAATTTAGAAGAAAAACAGTGCAATTCTTTATAAATAGGGCTTTCAAATTAGGATTGATATTAATATTTTGAGTTGCAGGAGAAAATATTCAAAAAAATTCACCCCCCCCCCTCCATATCTTTTGTCTTATTTAGCTCTTTATTTCCATATAAATAATTTTGAGATTTTTTTACACTTAATAAGAACAGGAAAAATGAAGACAATACAAATTAGACTTTAAGATTGATATCAGATTAATACATACTTTCAGAGGTGTAATAGAGAACCCTTCCCACCCCCCCCCCCCTCCCCATGAAAATATATGAGACCCATAATTTGACCTGCTAAATTCCAAAAAGTCAACTTACAGGATTTCCAAAGATTAAATTGTTTAATAGCAGGACAAATGTTATCATATTTTGTATAACGTATTTGCTTACATATATAGTAAAATTACAAATTTATTAATCTTTATTTAAGTTTTTACTCATAAATGAATTTATAAATTTTTATTTCAATTCATTTATCAGACCTGCAGAGGTCAAAATTTCAGGTGCTACCAAAAATTTGATTTTATTATTTTTTTTCAAGCTTGGCCTAGGGACTTGGCCCGTTTTTATTCTTTTATAATTTTTTTGCCCAGCCTAAGAATTTTTAAAATTTTGTTATTTTAAATAATTAGGGCTGGAAAATTGTTTTAATGGAAATTGAAAATATGAATGATAAATGTATATTAAATGAAATTTCCAGCTCTGATTTTTTTTACCATACATAAATTTTGACAGTAAAAATAATGTAAATTTTATAACATAGGAGTGAAACTTTCAACTGATTATTAAAATAATATAATATGTAATTTGAATTTGATAACAAAAATTGTATAAATTTGATAAAATCAGATTGGATCTGTTTCCAAAAAGTGCCATCGATATACCCTACCTAAAATATTCCTCTTAGTTATTGTGAATTTATTTTCTCTTCCTTTTTAAAAAAACACCCCATATTTTAACTATTTCAACAGTTTCCATTTTAAACTTATAAAATAATCATTTCTCATTCTTTTACCATAATTTAAAAAAAAATTGGAAAGTTTCATTGCAAATCTAAATTTTGGTCAAAGACATGTATAATTTGTATCAATGCTAGACAGCTCGTGCATGGCCAATGGCTGGTGATTCTTGGTGCCAACTTGACTAACTTAAATTATAAGTGTTTTAAAATTGTTCAAAAAGACCCTTTAATTTTTCAAAATAATAGTTTGGGCCAACATGAACCGCATTGCAGAGGGTGGGGGGTGTTTGTTAGAGGTCTGCAACCCAACGTTCGCCAGCCTATTGTTTAAAAAAAATTTTTTTAAATTATTTTATTGGTCAGTTTCAGTTAACTATTTATGTATTTTTACTTTGACCTACCCTAACCCTAAGTATACAATATTATGAAATAAAAAAATTAACCTAATAAATATGAATCCATTTCAAATTCACCATCTGCTCATTGTTTTAAAAATGTTTAACCTGCCCAATATTTAATAGTATGAGAGTGGGCGGGTTACAAACTCACCCACGGCTGACCTCTAGTAACTGTTCGCCTCTAAATATATTTAAAAAAACAATTTAGTCTTAATAGTTTATTTTTTTATGGTTTTACAAGTTTTAAATGCTACTCAACCAAAGTTGATGAAATATAATGATGTTACTGATTATTTGAGATAATAAATAATCATATTTAATTTTAACAGGCCTGGAGCTGCTAAAGCCGATAAATATTGTTAGAAAAAATATATGCTTTTTTGGGACCCATAAAATTGTTGCTTGGAAGTAAAGCTGAGTTACTGCATAATATAATTTTTAAACCCACCCTCTATCTTTAATTTATCATAATCATTATAACACACATGATGACTTGAAAACGACCGGTTCAATACATAAAACATATTCTTAATCAATGTTGTGTTTTCTTTTTAAAAATAACTTTTCTGTTGCACATATTTTTTTGCTATTTGTATTGTAAGAATAAGAAAGGGAGAAAGTTATATATGTATTATAATTATCTTGAGAATTAATATTACAATTGAAGATGGGTCGAGGCAGATGGTTTTATAAATATTTTTTTTTAATAATAAAAAGTAAAATAAAATATGGATAAATTTTTTTTTTCCTATACATACATAATGCATTACTATTTAATTTAGTATTTACAATAAATAAAAATAAATAATGTTTTCTTTTCAACTTTATGAAAGTGGAGAAATAAAACTAGTAAAATACATATTTCAATTGAAATGTAGATAAAAAAAGAACATGAAAAGAACAGAAAAACTTATGTTTTTAAAAAATTATGGCATTACTTTAAAATTTTAATTTCCGGCTATTTTTCTTTTTTTATAAAAAAAATATTTTTGAATAGGCTATAATTTATCCGACTAACCAAATAAAATTATGCTATATACTGACTAGATCTCTACAAAAATGTGAATCGAATAAGGGGCCTGTTTTCGATATGGATTTAATCATCAATAACCCTAAAATCTAAATTTTAAAAAGGAAAATTCTGCATCTAATTTATACTTCAACTTTAAACCACCTATTTGATAAAGATAAAATATTAAGATACCATTAAATAAAAATAATTGTTATTAGGGAACATCTCATAAACAGTATAGTAGGCTAGTCTAAATTTCGGCTCAATCTTCGGCGGTTTGCCAGAAATCCGTTAACATTAAGGCCTTTTAATTTGTATTAATTTCTTCCAAATTTGAGCTATCTTTATGAAATTGCCAGAGTTGAATAGCGAAATACATTTTACAAAAGCTAGCTTGACACGTAGGCATTTTATGCAACTTGAGTTATTATAGTAAAATATTTTTTTTAAATTCAAATTTGCATAATTTTAATAATAAAAAGAAAATATGTTATAATTATATTATCCATGGGCACTTTATTTTATAAATTAAACTATAACATGGAGGAAGTCACTTCTGTCTGATGTAGAATAATTATATGAATAGGAAAATTTACATATAAATACTGGCTAAAATGATAACTTCATTAACAAATCATAATTATTATGTAAATATATTATTGCCTATCTATTTTATTCAGTATAAATATAAAGAATCTGGCATTTTGTATGATACATTTTTCTAAGTTAACGGATAAAAGCATAAAGAATGACAAAGTTAGGGCGAATGTATTGTGCGTAAACCCAAAAAGAATATTGTAGGGGAACTTTTCATTTCCACCACAAATTTACGACACCCACAGTAAAAATCTATTAAATTAAATTATTTTAATTATAAATCATTTTTAGAGATGCCCCTTATACACATTATAAGAAATACAACCAATATAAACTTTCCCGGAAACTGAACCAATAAAAAGTATCAAATAGTAATAATATGAAGACATCAACTCTTTTTTTTATTATTCAAAATGGAAGCAACAGAAATTAAGCTTTAATAATTTCCCCCAAAATAGGTCATGACACTCACAATCAACATTAGAGAAGTCTGCAATGGGCGGGTTTTTAGCTAAAAAGCCATCCCTATTTAGATTTTTTCAACCCTCCGGCCCAATTTTTAAAAAATTTACACGTCCGCCCTCTATAAATTTTGCTTAACCCGCTTGTCCGCTTAATGTTTAAAAATTATTTTAAAGGCTGTATTTTAATGTATTTTTAATTAAACATATATAATATGCAATATTATGAAATAAAACTATTATTAATTAATTGAAGTCTATTCCGCTCATTTCGCCTAAAAAATATTGGAAATTCACCTGCCCACGCCCGCCCATTACTTAAAAATTTTTTTATCTGCCCACCCGCACAATGTTGGAAATATTTTAAAAAACTCGACCACGCCCATCCGAAGTATGGGCGGGTGGATTAAAAACCTGCTCAATGCAGTCCTTTCGTGCATATTATATATTTAAAATTATTGAGCTGATAAAACTGTCCATAAAAGAAAAAACTAAACTTCCTATCATTTTTGAATAGTTCAATTTTGTAGGTAAGAGAATGAATTTGTCTAGAAAAATATGTTCCAATATTATCTCAACTATCAATCGCTCTAAATAGATTACACAAAGAAAAGGAAGAATATTATGGCGATTTAATTCTAATAATATTTACATTACGGCAAAAACCTATTTTACTTAAAAGAGGCTCACTGAAGTTTTATCTTTCCTAAATGCTATGTTAATTGGGCTGGAGAAAATATATGAAAACACATTATATTTAGACTTATGTAATGTTGCATTTTTTAGAAATGATTATCCCATCCATATTATAAACTGATATTGGGAATAAATAAGCATACCAGAATTATTAATTAAGTGATCTCATTATATACAAACAGTTAGTGATGCCAAAGCACATAATGATCATTTCTTTATTTTTATTGGCCATATCAAACGATCTAACAACAAACTCTGATATTGAATTTCATATTATATGAAATCCAATATCAGAATATCTTATAAATTAGTTATTCAAATACATCATGTATAGATAATAAAGAAAATATTTCTGACATAAATAATACAATATTACTCTTTTCTCCATTAGAGGAAAAACCTTTCATTCGCCTGATCGTTAAATAGTCTTATAAAATTAGTCACCAATAAAGGGACACTATATTAGTGTTTTGTATAATTTGCAATTTTAAAATATAACCTTGAGCATGCAACGAAATACATTCTCATGAAAGTAATTTGTAGCTTAACGAAATATATATTTAAAATATT